CACAACTCCTGCTTGGTTTTTTTTGTTGTTGTTACAGTTTGACTGGGGGCATGTTTGAACCTGCCACCATCTGTATATGGGGCTGGTGCCCTACTCACTGAGCCACAGGTGCCACCCCTTTTTCCTCTCTTTCATGACCCCAGTGATGTGACTGTTAGATGTCTAGGCATAGTACCACAGTCCCCTGAGGCTCTGTTTTTTGTTTTTCAGTTGGTTTACTCTTTGTTCAGACTATATAATTTCTATTTTTCCATGTCACTTCCTCTGTCCCTCTGTTCTGCTGTCAAGCCCATTCATTGAGGTTTTGATTTAGGTTCTGTTTTTTAGTTTTAAAATTTGTTTTGTTCTTTACATCTCCTCTTTTCTTCCTGAGAATTTCTATTTTTCATTTGTCTAAATGCTGAAGCATTTTTTATGATGGCTGTTTGAAAATCCATGTCAGACAATTCTTATATCTGTGTCATCTTGATGTATCTTTTTCTCATTTGAGTTGAGTTTTTTTTTTTGTTCTTGATATATTCTTTGAGTGGTTTTGGATGAAACTTGGACATTTAGGGTATTATCTATGAAATTCTAGATCTTATTTAAATCTGCTTTGGTAGGGTAAAAGGGAAGCTGCTTTGTTCTTGCTAGGTGGGTTGGAAGTCTAGGATCCCCATTTGGCTTTTACTTACATTAGTGTGGGGCAGACACTCCTCTTGACTGCTAGGTGGAGGTGGGAGTTTCAGCTCTTCACTAGGGACTAGGGACTGTACATGGATGCAATCCTGGCTGGAATGGGAAGAGATAGCCTGTTAGTCTTCCTCATGTGGCCTCAGCTAATGCTGTGGGGGTTGCATGGCCTCATTGCATGGCAATAATAAATGTCTTGACTCTCTACTAGGCTTTTGCTGACATCACCCTAGATGGGACCAGGGCACTCCTTCTTACTCTGTGCTGACTTCTTTGCTTACTATGTCCTTCTCTAAGCTCATCTGTGTTGTGGATGGGGATGGATGTCTAGGCCAGCAGTTCTCAACCTGTGGGTCGCAACCCCTTTGGACTGTATTAAAAGTTTGTGGCATTAGGAAGGTTGAGAACCACTCATCTAGGCTAACACTTGGTCTCTAAGGGCAGCAAGGATGGAATTGGAGGCTTTATTACCACTTGTTGGAATGAAAATTTTGGTTTCTCACTTGGTTGTCTTTGACACCACCTAAATAGCTGGACATTTGAGGAGTCAGTCACCTAAAAAAAAGGTAACAGTGGACAATAAATGTTTTGACGCACATATAGTGAATACACTTAAAGAGTTATGGTTAGATATTATCAATATGAAACAACAATAAGGAAGTCAAAAAGCCAGATAGAAATAATATGTAGAAGATATAATAAGTAAAGCAAGGTAATGATAGGATAAAGAGTAAAAGAGATTTGGCCAAACAATGCATTACTGAGTTGGAAGAAAGAATTAAAAAAGTAAGAGCAAAGTGGGAAAAAATAAAAACAAGGAAATAATTTTTTAAATACTGGAGGATAAGTTTCTAAGAATTAAAAGACCATTGAAAGGCTTAAATTTGAAAGGCTTCAATTTAACATGGAGTCTCAAATGGTAGCAATAGGGAAGACCCATATCTAGACACATTAAGCCAGATCCGTGGAGGCTCACACCTATAATCCTGGCATTCAGGGAGGCTGAGATGGGTAGACTGCTTGAGCTCAGGAGTTTGAGACCAGCCTAAGCAAGAGTGAGATGCTGTCTCTACTAAAGATAGGAAAATTAGCCAGGTGTTGTGGTGGGCGCCTGTAGTTTCAGCTACTTGGGAGGTTGAGGCATGAGGATCCCTTGAGCCCGAAAGTTTGAGGTTTCTATGAGCTAGAGAGCCATGGCACGTTACCCAGGACAACAGAGTGAGACTCTATCTCAAGGGAAAAAAAAATCCTAAAGGTTGGCTCAACGC